CACACACACACACACACACACACACACACACACACACACACACACACACACACACACACACACACACACACACACAGCCCAGTCTTGCATCACACTGCATTATTTAAGCAGAACTCTCCATCTCGGCATAATACATCTATACAGCCGGGACCGAGGCGAGGAAACACACACACACACACGCATTTTTGTAAATATACACACACTTCATCGTAATGAACTTTCTGTTCACACCTGAACTTCTTTTTCCTTCATGTGAACAAGCAGACGGTGTGTGAATTCGATATCTCTGTCCTGTTACGTACCGAGCCGCAGGCCGTGATGAATGCAAGCGTTGCAGTGTCCTGTGAAAGAAGTTTAAGTTCAAGTACTAAAATGACTAAAACTATAACTGAAATAAAAATAAATGAAAGCTGGTAATGTTTGTGTGTGCGTATATATACGTATATACAGGTGCATCGCATGAAAAAGTTCATTTTGTTTGGTAACTTATTTCAAAAAGTGAAACTTTCATATATTCTATATTCATTACATGTGAAGTAAAACATTTAAAACATTTTTGTTTTAATTTTGATGATTAGAGCTTACAGCTCATGAAAGTCAAAAATCCAGAATCTCAAAATATTAGAATATTTACATTTGAGTTTAATTAAATGACCATCCTTACAGTATAAATTCCGGGTATCTCTTGTTCTTTAAATCCACAATAATGGGGAAGACTGCTGACTGGGCAATGGTCCAGAAGACAATCATTGACACCCTCCACAAAGAAGGTAAATCACAAAAGGTCATTACTGAAATGGGTGGTTGTTCACAGAGTGCTGTATCAAAGCATATTAAATGCAAATTTGACTGAAAGGAAGAAATTGGGTAGGAAAAGGTGCACAAGCAACAGGGATTGACCGCAAGCTTGAGAATACGGTCAAACAAAGCCGATTCAACACTTGCGAGAGCTTCACGAGGAGTGGACTGAAACTGGAGTCAGCCCCGACCAAGTATTGAGTGCATAAATGAACATAATTTAAAGAACCTGAACTTTTCTGTTTTGCAAATCCTTTTTTTTTTTATTGATCTTAGGAAATATTCTAATATTTTGAGATTCTGGATTTTTGACTTTCATGAGCTGTAAGCTCTAATCATCAAAATTAAAACAAAAAAACTTTTTAAATGTTTTACTTTACATGTAATGAATATAGAATATATGAAAGTTTCACGTTTTGAAATGTTACCAAAAAAAATTTTTCACGATATTCAAATTTTTATTGGTGGCTGACTAAATACTTTTTTTCCCCACTGTATATATATATAAAACTAAAAAAAATGTTTTGTCATTTGCATTAGTTTTTTATTATTAGCTTCAATGTATTTCTTTATTTACATAATATCAATTTGCTAAACTCAAAAGTAAAGCTAAATAGAAATATTTAGAAAAAAATAATAAAAAGAACAAAAGAACAACAAATTTACTAAAAAAAAAAAGTTTTATTTGTCTGCATATATTTTATTTATTTTATTTTATTTATTTATAGTTTTAAAAAAAATCATTTTTAGGTTTTAGTTATTTTAGTACATCAAGTTAAACTGAATGAAAATGAGAAATGTTGAAATATACTTTGCTTTTGCTTTTATATATTTGATTACAGTTTGTTTGGTATTTATTTTAATAATGTTTATAGTATTTGGATTTATTGGTTTTATTTTTAAATTTTAGTACTTCAACTTCAGACTTATTTTATTTTAGCTAGCTGACTAGGAAACATTTCTAATTTTCATTTTTTAACTTGATGTATTAAAAACTAAAGCTGAAATAAAAATGTATAAAAACTGTATAAACAACAAAAACAACCTAATAAATATGACAAAAATACAACAAAATTGCTAAAACTTTTTGTAAATTAAATTTAAAATGTGGAAAATGAACAAATTTGAACTTCTTAAAATTTATATTTAGTTTTAATATATTTTTACATAAAGTCATGACAAAAGAGCATAACAAAATTACTAAAACTTAAACTGAATTTAAAATGAAAACTGATAATATAAATATAAAAGCTAATAACAAATATTAGTGATAATATAAGTAATATATCACAGAGGGATGCATTGCTGAGTGGTGTCTAGGGTGTGTTTTTTTCTGGTTCAAGTGGAAAAAAAAGAGTCCTGAATAGTGTGTGTATATATATATATATATATATATATATATATATATATACACTCTTAAAAAATAGAGGTGCTTCAAATGGCTCTTCACAGCGATGCCATAGAACAGGGATCCTCAAATCTGGCCCACGAGATCCACTTTCCTGCAGAGTTTAGCTCTAACCCTAATCAAACACTCCTGAGCATGCTAATCAATGTCTTCAGGATCATTAGAAAATCACAGGTAGGTTAGTTTGATCAGGGTTGGAGCTAAACTCTGCAGCGCATTGGCCCTCCAGGGCAAGATTTGAGGAACCCTGCCATAGAAGAACCATTTTTGGTTCCATAAAGAACCATCCGGTCAAAGAACCATCTCTTTCTTACGTTTTTATAATCTGAAGAACCTTCTTTCGCCACAAAGAAGCTTTTGTGAAACAGAAAGGTTCTTCAGATGTTAAAGGTTCTTTATGGAACCATTTAGACAAAAAGGTTCTTCTATGGCATCGTGAAGCACCTTTATTTTTAAGAGTGTATATCAGCTGTTTTCTGGTCCAGCAGATGAAAATGGTTCATCTGATCACTTTAAGTACCATGATTTGAGGAATCCTTCATGACTGGAGCACAAACTCTGCTAGACGAGTTATATGCTGAAATAAAATGCATTCTCCTAACAAACGTGGATTCATCGCATATTCTAGGTATATTCTCATAAAACATGCAGAGAACATTGAATACTTGCTCAAGAATTCCACCATAGCAACCAAATCCTAATAAAAGAACAGCCTCTCTCACTAAATCTCTCTCTCTCCTCTAGTGATGTGATGTGATGAGATTGTGTGTGTGTGTGTGTATTTGAAATGTATGACGCTAAAATCCGATATGCTTTGTTGTTTTTCTTAACAAGCATGTAAACATATTTATGCGAGTGCGCCTTCATGGCAACACGAACACGTCTGGCTTATTATTGCATTAATATTAATTCCCAGCCAATAAATTGAATTTGTAATATGTTATGCATATTTGCTTTTCCATTTCAGTGCTTTACTTTCGTCTGTGTGTGTGTGTGTGTGTGTGTGTGTGTGTGTGTTTCAGGTGATGGAGCTCAAAGGTCAGATGCTTCACCTCCCAGAATCCCACTCCATCATGTTCCTGGGCTCGCCGCGTGTCGATAGGCTGGAGGAGCTCATGGGGCGGGGCTTACATCTGTCTGACATCCCTATTCATGACGCCACACGTGATGTCATTCTGGTGGGTGTGTCAGTCAAACATCATTAGATTTTCAAAGAGTTTACTGTAAACAGAATAGAGTTTGGCTAATGAACTGTTACTTGATGGAACAATTGTAATTATTACTATTAATAAATGTAATTATTTATTGTTTTGACTTCATATCATACTTACACCCCTTATTATGAAAAGGATATTTCTGGTTCTGGATGTCAGTGTTGTTACTGTAAACTACATTTACATTACATTTTGGAATTGCTAGTAGATTTCACAATTCATTACAAACAGCAAGCAACACATCGTTTTAAAAGTGAAATTTTGAAATAGAAACACTTTAAACTGTATTTTCTTGTAAAACATATTTTCTCATTAAACATACCCTAATAATTAGAAATTATGCAATTTTATTTCTAACTTTACAAAACATTGTTTTACAGTGTAAATCTACAATTATTAAAAAAAAAATTTAATAATTGACATAAAGCTGAAATAAAAATATTAGATTAAAAACTTTACATGAAAAAAATGCTTTGGTAATTAGCTGGAATTGAAGTACTAAAATTACTAAAACTAAAACTGAGGTAAAAAACAAAAATTTATGCGAAATAGAAATAGTAAAAAACTAATGTTTTGTAATTTTTATTAGTTTTAGTTTTTTTATTAATATTTTATTTACATTTATTTTAATATATATTTTATTTACATAAAATAACAAAAAATACAACTGAAATAAATATAAAGCTAAAAATAAATATTAAAAAGGTTTTTTATATTTATCTTCATTTTTATTTCAGTTTTAGTTTTTGTAAATAATAGAATAATAAATATACTTTATATACAGTACATAACATAATTACTAAAACTTTAACTAAAATAAAAATAAATTAAAGATGAGTAGAAATATACAAAACAGTTTCATCATTTTAATTCGTTTTGGTTTTATAATTACTATCATTTTGGCTTTATAATATTGTATTTATATAATATATTATTTATATTTAGCTTTATTTTTATTTACATAAAATTTCTAAAACTTATACTGAAATAAAAATCAATTAAAGCTAAATATAAATATTTTTTTAAAAACTCATAAAAATGACAAAAAACATAAAATTACAAAAAATTTAAATTTTAATGAAAACTGAAAATACGAAAAAATAAAAGCTAATTAAAAATATTAAGTACTCTAACAGTTTATAAATAATACAAAAATAACACTACTGGACATTACCTGCCATAATTCTTATCTGATCATTTCTGTAGGTTGGAGAACAGGCCAAAGCTCAGGATGGGCTGAAGAAACGCATGGATAAACTCAAAGCCACCCTGGAGAAAACCCACCAGGCTTTAGAGGAGGAGAAGCACAGAACCGTCGACCTGCTCTACTCCATCTTTCCCGGCGATGTGGCTCAGAGACTCTGGCAGGGCCTTCCGGTTCAGGCAAAGAAGTTTGATGACGTTACCATGCTGTTCTCTGACATCGTGGGCTTCACAGCCGTGTGTGCGCAGTGCACGCCAATGCAGGTCATCAGCATGCTGAACGAGCTCTACACGCGCTTCGACTACCAGTGCGGCATCCTGGACGTCTATAAGGTAAAGCTATCTGTCACACTCCATACATCGCTTTTAACCAGGACACCCTAGCAACCACATAGCAACCAACTTCCTAGAAGCCACCTTAAACATCTAAGCAACAACATAGAAATCACCTACTAGCACCTTACCAACTGCATAGAAACCACCTAGTAACATCTTAGCAAATGCATAGCAACTGCATAGCAGCCCTGAAAATCCTAGTAATCACATAGAAGCCAACTTTCTAGAAACCACCCTGAACACTTTAGAAACCACCTAGAAACCTCCTAGAACACCCTATCATAGAAACCACCTAGTAACACCTTAGCAACTGCATAGCAACACTTTAAAAACTGAATAGTAACCTCCTAGAAACCACCCTAAACACCCTAACAATTCCATAGAAGCCACCAAGTAACACCTTAGCAATTGCAAAGCAACCTCCTAGAAACCACACTGAACACCCTAGCAATCACATAGAAACCACCTAGTAACACCTTAGCAACTGCATAGCAACTGAATAGTAACTCTGAAAATTCTAGCAATCACAGAAACCACCTAGTAACACCTTAGCAACTGCATAGGAACACCTTAAAAACTGAATAGTAACCTTCTAGAAACCACCGTGAACACCTTAGCAATCACATAGAAACCACCAAGTAACACCTTAGCAACTGCATAGTAACACCCTAACAACTGAATAGCAACCTAGAAACCACATTGAACACCCTAACAATTAAACATAAAACAACTTCCTAGAAACCACTCTGAACACCATAGCAACTGCATAGAAACCACCTAGTAACTGCATAGCAACCTCCTAGAAACCACATCGAACACCCTAACAATCGCATAAATCCAACTTCCTAGAAACCACTATGAACACCATAGCAACTTCAGAGAAACCACCTAGCAACACCTTAGCAACTGCATAGAAACCACCTAGCAAGACTTTAGCTACTGCATAGCAAAAACTTTAGTCAGATTCCAACAAATCATACATCATTTTAAAGGTTTTTAATGGAGATTGTGATAACAAAAAATAACTAATTTTTGCTCATTGTGACTCATTTTGCCAGCACAGGTCACATTTTAAATGAAGTCTATTTTAGGATTTTTTCTTAAACTGCTTTGATTTTGTGTGGGTGAAATATGACCGTAAAATGTTCTTGACTGGTTTAAATATACTGCACTATATTAAAGTACTGTTCTGAGTGGCCATCAGCATTTAAAAGCTTTTAACTTTACAAGCTGATCTTTAAACACACACACACATACACACTCTCTCTCTCTCTCTCTCTCACACACACACACACACACACACAGTGAGGACCGATGTGTTCAATGAAAAGGCATTTAGTGAGTGTATGTCAATAAATTGGCATTATAAACTCCATTACCCCAAATAAAAGTGTGTGTGTGTGTGAACTCTGATCCTCTCGCTCACTCACTCACTCACTCACTCACTCACTCACTCACTCACTCACTCACTCACTCACACACACACACACACAGACAGACAGTTTGTGTGTTTCTGAAGGCTGTATGTAAATGCGGTCTGCTGTGCTGGCATCAGTGCGTCTCCAGAGAGAGACAGATTCATATTTATGTGTCCCTCACCTGCTTTGTGTTAAGTGTTATTCATCAGAGAGCGTTTATATTCTGACAGCAGCCGCCTGTGAGCATCAAGAGCCTGAATCTGAGCTTGTGTGTGTGTGTGACGGGGTGAATCTCACAAAGACTCATCTCGGTCACATTTCACCCTAAATCAAAGAAAAAAATATATAGTTTGCATGAAACAAGATGATGTATTGGTATCATCAGATATGAAATAATAAGGCATTCTGGATTGTTGCTTACAGAAATAGAGTAAACGCTCTCTTCTTTTTAGGGTTTTTTCTTAAACTGCTTTGATTTTGTGTGGGTGAAATATGACCGTAAAATGTTCTTGACTGGTTTAAATATACTGCACTATATTAAAGTACTGTTCTGAGTGGCCATCAGCATTTAAAAGCTTTTAACTTTACAAGCTGATCTTTAAACACACACACACATACACACTCTCTCTCTCTCTCTCTCTCTCTCACACTCACACTCACACTCACACACACACACAGTGAGGACCGATGTGTTCAATGAAAAGGCATTTAGTGAGTGTATGTCAATAAATTGGCATTATAAACTCCATTACCCCAAATAAAAGTGTGTGTGTGTGTGAACTCTGATCCTCTCGCTCACTCACTCACTCACACACACACACAGACAGACAGACAGTTTGTGTGTTTCTGAAGGCTGTATGTAAATGCGGTCTGCTGTGCTGGCATCAGTGCGTCTCCAGAGAGAGACAGATTCATATTTATGTGTCCCTCACCTGCTTTGTGTTAAGTGTTATTCATCAGAGAGCGTTTATATTCTGACAGCAGCCGCCTGTGAGCATCAAGAGCCTGAATCTGAGCTTGTGTGTGTGTGTGACGGGGTGAATCTCACAAAGACTCATCTCGGTCACATTTCACCCTAAATCAAAGAAAAAAATATATAGTTTGCATGAAACAAGATGATGTATTGGTATCATCAGATATGAAATAATAAGGCATTCTGGATTGTTGCTTACAGAAATAGAGTAAACGCTCTCTTCTCCACAGATTGAGACTATCGGCGATGCGTACTGCGTGGCAGGCGGGCTCCACAGGAAGATTGACAGCCACGCTAAGCCAATCGCGCTCATGGCGCTGAAGATGATGGAGCTGTCGGAGGAAGTGCTGACGCCTGACGGGAAGCCAATCAAAGTGAGTTAGAGGTTTTGTTTGGAACTACTGTACTATTTTTTGCAGTATAGCGTGCAATTTTCTATTAAAATGCCTACTGCTACTTATTTGCGATATAATATTTGCAAAAATGTGAAGTGTAATTTTTTACTTCTTTCTTGATTGATTATTTGATGAAACGGACAACATTTAGGCATTATATTGTATTAAAATAGCAAATGTAAATATATAAAAAATATATATAAAAAGAATATATTAAAAATAAAATAAATTCATAAATTCATATTAAATCAAGGATTATATTTTCAAAATCGAAAATAAATACATATTAAATAAATATATAAAAATATATGAAATTATATGTCAAATGTCTGATGACTGCACACCGCTTGCTAAATTAAACATAAATATGGGCGTTCATGTGATCAGAATGTAACAGAGCTGGTGTGGATTCAGGGATTTGAATCCCATTCAAACACAACCTGCAAGATGTGTTTGTCTGTAGCTTTTGTTCATCATGCGTTGATGGCGGAGCGGCGGTTTAATGTTGCTTGCAGCGAGACACTCGTGTGTGGGGTTGTGTTAAGGATCTTGTGTTTAACAGCTCCATCGACAGCACTGGACTCACCGTAGAGACGGAGTGAGAGCGTGGAAGCTGGTCGCCATGGAGACGGCGGAACACTCCAAGTGCTTGCCGCTAATTGATTGTTAGATTGTTGCTGTTTTCTCCCATTTAGAGGGAGTCAACGAGCCAATCGCTGCGTCTGAGAGGCTCGGGCATGTGTGTGTGTGTGTGTTCAGAAGTGTCTCTGAGCATGTTGTCATGTCTGTATTGAAATGCCTGCAGCAATGATTGTTTGTTTAGTAAAACTGAATGATTGTG